AAGAGGGCCCCAAAGAGGCCCGAGAGGGCCCCCCAAAATGACGCGAGACGCGCCCAAGACGGCCCTCAAGAGTGCTCCAAGAGGGAGCCCCGACGGGGAACCCGAATGGACATCTTCAGCCCTGGGCCCTGGGAGGCCCCCAGGAGGCCCCAAGAGGCCCCCAAGAGGTCGCCAGGAGGTCCCCAAGAGGCCCCAAGGAAGCCCTAAGAGGCCCCCGAGACGCTTCCAAGAAGCCCCCAACCTGCCCCCAAGAGGCCGCCGAGAGCGCTCCGAAGAGACCCCACGAAGCATCCCTGATGACTCTGACACACAACCCAGGCACGCTGGCGGCATGGGCCGAATGTCATTCATATATGTACATGCGTATGCATATGTATATGTATCCGCTGCCCCCTTTTGCTTTAACAAAGGGGTGTCTGGCGTGCCAGACTATATGGGTTTTGGTTTTGGTTCTTTTTCCAAACAGAACTCTCCCAATGGGTTTCGGCCCGACCCGCCAGCCACCCGTAGATCGCCCAATTCCCGGAAAAAAATCCTCCCAGACGGCTCAAGATGGCCTCCAAGATGGCCACGTTGGCCCAAGATGGCCTCCACGATGATCCAAGACGGCCTCCAAGTCCGCCCAAGATGGTCCAAGACGGCCTCCAAGATGGCCCAAGAGAATCCAAGACGGCCCAAGAGGCCCCCCAGAGGCCTCCCAGACGGCCCAAGAGGCCTCCAAGAGGTCCTCCAGGAGGGCCCGAAGAGGCCAAAATCATTGATGTTCCTTCGGTTTTGAAGGATTTGGGAATCCCACCAGCCCTTTGGGCGTGAGTGGTTTAGAGAGCCCGCTCTGTTCTCAACCCCCCTTCTTCCCCTTCGGGGAGGGGTTTACCCCTCCCCCTACCCCCTCCCCTGGGCCCGGAGAGGTCCCTCCGCGGGTCGTCAGGGGGGTCATTTTCGACTCCTGGGAGGGCTAAAAAACGACACCCCTCACGAGGATTCTGGCCCCGACGGGGGGAGGGAGAAAAAACCCTCTCCTCTTCTGTGAAGCCAAACTCGTAGATTTTACTACGGTTTTGGCCCCATTTTGGCTCATTTTGCCCTTCTGAGGGGGCAGTGCTCATTAAAGCTCCCCTCTTCTTTGATCCATTCCCTCCAAGATGGCCCCAAGAAGCGCCCAGGAGGCACCAAGAGGCCCCAAGATGGCCCCAAGAGGTCCCCAGGAGGCCCCCAAGAGGCCTCCAAGAGGCCCCCAAGATGCCCCCAAGAGGCCCCCAAGAGGCCCCAAGAGGCTCCCCCGAGGCACCCAAGACGCTCCTGGAAGCCCCTGGGGCCGCCAAGAGGCCCCCAAGACGCCCCAAACGGCCTCCAAGAGGCTCCCAAGAGGCCCGAAGAGGCTCCCCCAAGGCACCCAAGACGCTCCTAGAAGCCCCTGGGGCCGCCAAGAGGCCCCCAAGACGCCCCAAAAGGGGACGAGGTGCCCGAACGCCTCACGCCACGAGGAGCCCGAACGACTCACACCAGGACGAGGGGCCCGAACGACTCACACCACGAAGAGCCCGAACGACTCACACCAGAAGGAGGGGCCCGAACGACTCACACCAGGACGAGGCGCCCGAACGACTCACACCACGAGGAGCCCGAACGACTCACACCACGACGAGGGCCCCGAACGACTCACACCACGAGGAGCCCGAACGAGTCACACCAGGAGGAGGGGCCCGAACGACTCACACCAGGACGAGGGGCCCGAACAACTCACACCACGAGAAGCCCGAACGACTCACACCAGGACGAAGAGCCCGAACGACTCACACCACGAAGAGCCCGAACGACTCACACCAGGAAGAAGGGCCCGAACGACTCACACCAGGACGAGAAACCCCAAACGACTCAAACCACGAGGAGCGCTTTCTCTCCCTCCTCCTCCGCCTCGTCCTTCTCCCGCTCCCCCCACAAGGAGGATGTACAAGGAGGCGGGAGGAAGGAGTAACAGGGGAGATATGCGGGGCCAAGCGGACACACGCCTGAAAAACACGACTGTCGGCATGCTTCGCAAGAGTTGCTGTTGTGAGATGGGCTGGTGGGGATACGCGAAGCGTAAAGAATTTGCTTCGTCTCGGCATTCCGACGGCTCAAGACGGCCCAAGAGGCCCCCAAGATCGCCCAAGAGCCCCCCAAGAGGGCACCATGACGGCCCAAGTGGCCTCCAAAACGGCCCCAAGAGGGCCCCAAGAGGGCCCAAGAGGCCTCCAACACGCCCAAGATAGCATCCAAGACGCCCAAGATGGCCTCCAAGACGGCCCCGAAGCGCCCCAAGAGGGCCCCCCGTTGGCCCAGAAAGGCCCCCAAAACGGCTCCCGACGGCGTCAGGCGTGCCAGGAACCCACCAGGATGGCCGAAGTTGGCTCGAAGCTGGTCCAAGACGGCCCAAGAGGCCCCCAAGAGGGCCTCCAGGAAAGCCAGAGGCCAAAAACATGGATTTACCGCAGGTTTTTGACGGATTTTGACATTTGCTTCTTCGGCCTTCCGACGGCCCGAGACGGCCCAATTGCCCCCAAAGATCGCCGAAAGATCACCCAAGAGGCCTCCAAGATGGCCCCAGAACGGCCTAAGAGGGCCCCAAGACGGCCCCCAAGACGGCACAGGAGGCCTTAGGAGGCCCAAGATGGCCTCCAAGACGGCCCTGGAGCATTCCAAGAGGGACCCAAGTCGGCCCATAGAGGCCCCCCAAACGACTTCCGACGGCGTCAGACGGACCAGGAGCCCACCAAGACGGCCGAACATGGCCCTAAGATGGCCCAAGACGGCCTCCAAGAGGGCCTCCAGGAAGGCCCGAAAAGGCCAAACTCATTGATTTGCGATGGGTTCTTGAAGGATTGTGGCATTTGCTTTTTTTCTGCCTTCCGACGACCCGAGATGGCCCAAAAGCGCACAAAGATCGCCCAAGAAGCTCAAGACACGGCCCCAAGAGGCCCCCAAGACGGCCCAAGAGGTCTCCAAGACGCTCAAGATAGCCTCCAAGACGGCCCAAGAGCCCTCCAAGCGGTCCTCCAAGAATGCCCGAAAGGGTCAGAATGGCCTCCAGACGGCCAAGATGACCTTCAAGATGCCCACGTGTTCCCCGAAGGCTTTCCAAACCGATTCGGGGAACACGTGGTCCGATAGCTTGGCAGGCCTCTGGCCACAACCTTCGGCCACATAGGCGCTTCCAAAAAGGCAGGGGGCGGCGGTGATTCGCCGTAGGCGTCTTCGATATGTATTTGTATTTGTATTTGTATTTGTAATTGCATTTGTATTTGTATATGTATATGTATAGGTATATGTATATATGTATGTGTATGTGTATGTATATGTATATCTCTACATACAGATATTCTTATACATATATTTCTATAGGGCCGGGGACGCCAGAAAAAACGCCCCCCCCCCCCAACGAATTTGGCCCTCCCCGGGCCTCCGGGCAACCTTTCAGACGACCTCGGAGAACCTCACGAGAGCCCGACGAGGGCCCCAGACAGGTTCCAGGCGTTCCGGCGCGCTCCAGAAACGACCCCAGAGAGCCCCAATACTGTCCACGACACCCCCCAAGAAGCCGTCGTACCCCCAAAGATCGGCCCAAAACATCCCAAGAGGCCTCCAGACCACTGCCAAGAAGGCCCCAAGATGCAAACATCATTGATTTTCTATAGGTTTTTGGTGAATTTTGGGGCTCTCCTCTTTTCGGCTTCCCGACGCTCCAAGACGGCGGTCTTCTGGGCGTCAGAAACCGCCTGGGAGGCTCTAAATCGCCCCACAACCATCCGAAAGGGCTTCCAGGTAGTCCAAGAAAGCCCCAAAACGGCACAACAGGGGTCCAAGATGGCCCTCCAAGAACCCCGTGGCGGCCCAAGATGGCCCCAAAACACCCTCCGAAACATTCCAAATCGTGACCCGGTCGTTCAGGGAGACCGCGGTTGGAGGCAGGGTGGCCCGAGGAAGCACCCAGAGGCCCCCAGAACACGCCCAGCAGGCCTCCAGAAGGCTTTAAGCCAGCTTGAACAACTGTTGTGAGGCCCCCAGAGGCTCTCCGCGGAGGCACAAAGAGCTGAGGATGATGGGGAGAATGCGCAGGGTATGACGAGCATGAGGAAAAATAAGCATGGAGGAAGGACAACAAATCACATTACTATAACGGCGATGCGTGAAAAGGCAACAAGGAATTATCGCTCAATTGTCGGCTGGACCTTCCTGCCATCCTGCCTGCATGCCAAACTTCGAGGACCAAGGTGCATGGCGCGATGCGCCACTGCAGTCTTGTATATATATATATATATGTACGGATATATCTCAGAGTAGAGTAGCGTAGGAAAAGAGTAGAGTAGGGTAGGGCAGAGTAGAGCAGTTTCGGGTAGGAAAGACTAGGGAAGAGTACAGCAGAGCAGGGTCGGGTAGATGGGTAAATCAGAGTAGAGCGGAATAGAGCCCACCCCAGTCCAGTCCAGTCTCCTCCACTCCAGTCTACTTCAGTCCACTTTATTTCAGCCTTCTGATATATTTGGAGTCTGCGCTGTCTGATATTTTGCTTCAGGGGTGTGGTAGGACAGTGTGGCTGCGAGATGTGGGGATACTTCTGTCGACTCGCCACTAAGGAACCTGCCCTTTCCCCTGGCTCCTCTGCGGCGCCTCTATCCATGAACACGTCAGCCCGAACGTGATCCCAGATGTGCCCACTTGCGCAGAGCGCCTCTTCCCCTCTCCCCCTTTCCCACGCCTGGCGCTGCAGTGCTAGGTTATGCAGTACTTGCCGATGAAATGCCACACTATGCTGTGCCATCTTCCGCTCTGCCGTGCTCTCCTGCGCAACGCTATGCAATGCGATGCAGCGCGTACCCTTTGGGGTCATTGTTCTTCTCAGTCTCCGACTGTGCGCATAGAGCGGGGCCCTACGCAATGGTGAAGGACGGGAGGCAGGGGCGGGACGTCAGACATGGCGCGAGCGCGCCCAGCTTGTCCCTCTCCCTCTCTCCTGCTCCCTCGGCCGATCTTCTGCCTGCTGCTGGCATCGTCTCCAGGTGGTGCCACGGGGCTCTGACACGAGATCCCGAAGCTGCCCGGCGCGGGGGTCGAAACGCGCGCTCCGAGGCCCTCTTGCTACGTTTAAGTCGGGCCTGTCCCTCTACAGGGGGAAGCTTCTAAAATAGTCAAACATTTTCCCAGTGCGACCCTACCTAGGAGTTGGAGCCCCTAGGAAAGCAGCATAAGCTAAGCTAAGCTAAGTTAAGCTAAGCAAAGCTAATCTAGCTAAGCTAAGCTAAGCTTAGCTAAGCTAAGCTAAACTAAGATGAGATCAGATAAGCTAAGCTCAGCTAGGCTAAGCTAAGCTAGGCTAAGCTGAGCTAAGATGAGATACGTTAAGCTAAACTAAGCTAAGGTCAGATAAGCTAAGCTAAGCTACAATGCGATAATCAAAGCTAAGCTAAGCTAAGCTAGACTAAGCTAAGCTAAACTAAGATGCGATAAGCAAAGCTAAGCTGATATAAGCTGCGCTAAGCTAAGCTAAGGTAAGCTAAGGTAAGGTAAGGTAAGGTAAGCTAGGCTATACTAAGCTAAGCTAAGATGAGATAAGCGAAGCTAAGCTAAGCCAAGCTAGGCTAGGCTAAGCTAATATGAGATAAGCTAAGCAAAGCTAAGCTAAGCTAAGCAAGGGCGCAACTGGGGAACCGCGGGACGGATGCCAGGGGAACCGCGGGGCGGATCCTGGGGGAACCGCCCGGGGCGTTTTACACTGCATGGCCCCTCTAAGCTAACACTGTAAGAACCCGTCTAGGCAGAGCCTATGTAGGGAAATAGTCTGGGGACGATTTTTTGAATATTTTTTGGGGCCATTTTGGGGTATTTGTTTTGCATATTCTTGCATTTTTCGCCCAAAGCCCCTCTGTAGGAGGACAGGCACGAGCTGATGCTGCGCTTGCGCCGCCGCATCCTGGCGGCGCGCGCAGCGGGGTGGGCGCCCGCGAGAGGCTGATCGGAGCCGTTTCTCGAAAGCGGGAGGGCCTTGGTGCGCGGAGGAGCGCGCCGTGGGGCGGCGCCGGAGGCGCCGCCGAGGGGGGCCCGCCGCCGATCCGAGACACCCGCGCGGAGCTCCGACAATGTACGCTTGCGCAACTCTGTCTTTTCCGTTTTCAGGGCCACCCTCCTCGACCCATTCCCCGGGACCGCCTTTCTATCCCGATTCGGTTTCGGGCCCAGCGAGGGCCCCCAGAGGCCGAACATAGCAAACGACCTCTGGTCGCGATCTTTTCACGACGCGAGGGCGTCTGGGTCGAGCCACCCCTCTCATTCGGCGACTCCGAAGGGTGTGGTCTGCAAAGGGTGTAGCTTGCAACTGGCACCCTGGAGGGCACCCTGGGAGGCGGGCGAGGACCTCGACAACGCTCTCCGACGCGCCTCGAGGAAGCCCGACGAGGACGGTGTCGTGCTTCCCAGGCCCCAACGGCGCCGATCGCAAACCACACCCTGGCGTAACCGTACCCTGTGTGCTCGTCGGGCGTCGCGCAATGGGGGTGCGATAAGATGGGGGTGGGGCAGCGGGGGCTGCAGAAAAGGGGCCCTCGAAGGCCCCAAGGGGGGCCTCTAGGGCCCCGAAAGAAGCCTCCGGGGCCCGAGAAGTGCACCTTTCTCCCCCGCCCGTTTATCACCCCCCCTCCATGAAGCGACGCCCAAGGTCACCGACTCGTGCGCGCCGCCGGGCCTTCGCGCAAGCATGCGCGGGGCGTCCCTTCCTCCGCAAGGGAGCCGCGGGTGCTCCACCTGCGCGGCCCTCCCCCCGGAGATGCGGGGCGGCCCCCGCGCGGCCGCCGCGAGCGCGCGCGGGGCAGCGAGGAGATGCGGAGGCGCGCGCTGCCGTCGGGGCTCGGGCAGAAGAGTTGGGCGTCGCTTGAATGGGGGGGCGATCAAGGAAGGGGGGAGGCAGGTGCACTTGTCGGGCCCTAAGGGCCCCCTCTTGGGCCCACGAGGGCGCCTTCAGGGGCCCTAAGGGGCCCCTTTATCGCAGCCCTCGCTGCCCCCCCCCCACCGAGGAAGAGGAGGAGGAGGAGGAGGGAGGAGGAGGGAGGAGGGAGGAGGGAGGAGCTTTTCGCCCCCCCATTACGCGACGCCCAAAATCTAGGGTCGGCGGCGAGCCCAGGGGCAGGCCTTCTTGGCGGCGCGCAGAGGGGGCAGGCCTTCTCGCCTTCTTTCCTCCTCCTCCCTCCTCCTCCTCCCTCCTCCTCCCTCCTCCCTCCTCCTCCTCCTCCTCCTCCTCCTCCTCCTCCTCCTCCTCCTCCTCCTCCTCCTCCTCCTCCTCCCCCTTCTCTCCCTCCTCCCACCTCCAGTCCAAAGGCCCACGACACGGAACTACTGCGACGTCGGCAGTCCCTGTCCAGGCCCAGCTCACGAGCGCCCACTGCTGCCCACGACTAGGTGTGGGTGGGCTGTTCTTGTTGGCGGCGCGCACAAGGTAGTAAGGGGGAGGGGGGAAGGCTTCTTAGAAGGAGGCTGTTTCTTAGAAGGCCCTGGCCTCACATCTGCAGACAAGGCCCGCGCCTTCCTAAGAAGCAGGGGTGCTTCTAAGAAGCCTTCCCCGCTGCCCCTACCCGCCTTCTGCGCGTGGCCGCTTCTCGGAAGGGCACGCAGACTGACATCATGTCCTGTTCCTTTTGGACAGGTCTTGCTGTCGGTGTCGCCGCGTACGTTCTCCATCTGAGACAGAAAGGGCGCCTGCCCAACGGCGTGGGGGGTGGGCCTTCTCAGAGGGCGGCGGGGCTTCTCAGAGGCCCCCTGGCCCTCTGAGAGGCCGCCTGTGTCTGCGGGGGTGGCCTCGGAAGACTTCTCTCAAAGGGCGAGAGGGCTTCTGAGAAGCCCCTCCGCCTTATGAGAAGGCCCGCCCCCTCTCACTTCCCTCCTCCTCCTCCTCCTCCTCCTCTTCCTCCTCCTCCTCCTCCTCCTCCTCCTCCTCCTCCTCCTCCTCCCCCTGGGCCCGCCGCCGAGAAGATGCAGGAGCAAAACGACTGCACGAACGTAAACCTTCGGAGGTCCGCGCGGATTTCCTGGCGCAGGAGGCCCCGCCCGGGGAGAGCCCACCGCCGATCCGAGAAACCCGCGCGGAGCTGCGACAGCTTGTGCTCATGCCGATTGTGCCTCTTCGAGAAGACGAAAAACAGCCTTGGGCCTCGCGTATGGGGGGGGCACTCGATGGGGGCGCAGCGAGGGCTGGAGAAAAGGGGCCCTTTGGGGCCCATAAGCGGGCCGGCCTCCAGGGCCCGGAAAGGCCACCTTGTATCCCCCCACCGTGCCGCCCCTCCACTTAGCTGCCCCGAGACGCATCAGGCAAAACGTAGCGCATTGATACGGAGCTCAGCACGTAGACTGAAAACGTAGGTCTGACGCGAAGCGCTCGCCAAAACGTGGGCCAATACGTTGAGCCAACGTGCGGCGTACTGGCACGGATGTTTCGAGCACGGTGCGTGCTGCGTCCCAAAGCGGGCGTATCGAGGCAGCAAAGCCCCCCTATTAAGCGGCGCCCAACAGCCGCACAAGCAGAAGCTGCCGGAGGTCCGTGCGGGTTTCTTGGGCCCCCCCCCTTCCCGCACCCTCGGGCGACGTCTCCCCTGGCGCGCTCCGCGCGCTGGGAGGGGGCGTGGGGTGGGGACTGCAGCGACGGCCTGACGGCCCAAGGAAGCCGCGCGGACCTCAGCAACATGAGATGCTTACCGGCTGCACGCAAGAGTGACCCTGGGCAAGAGTGACCTTCGGCGCGCGGATCAAGGGGGCGCGAGGTGGCCAAATCCGAGCGCGCAAGCAACCACTATCGCATCGCACTGCGCTCAGCGACCGGGGGGCCCTGGTGAACCCGCATCATTCCGGCGAGAAATCACTCTTACGCGTAGTCGACTTATGCTTTTTTTGGTCTTCTCATGGGGGAGCCGGTCGGGAGGGGGCAGAGGGCGCATCTGTGAATGTTGCGCCCGACACTCCTGCTGGCCTGGGCTGGGCATCACCGCACAGCACTCGACGGCCCAGTAATCCAAATGGATTTTACCTCCTCACCTTTCCATGTCGGCTGACCAGAGAGCGAATGAACCAATCACTATAGGGGGCTGTCCCACAAGATGCGGCTGAATGACCACCCTCGTGTCGTTTAGTCATGAGCTCATGTGCTCATGTGGGTGGTGTCGTTTTGTTATGTGCTCATGTGGCGGTAGACCATCAGGGGTCACCACCACGGACATAAAGAGAGGCGCTCAGACGACAAAGATGCGGCTTCCATCCCTTTCCGACGCGGGCGAAATAATCATGCCTCACCCGTCATCCGAAGCGCGCTCGCTTCCATGCGACCCGCGATCAACTGCTGCCCTAAGCATTCCGCGTGGACGACAGCACGCGTTCGCACGCACGCTTTTTCACCAAACGGCTTCCTCAACCACTGTTCGGTCACGGCGGATGCGGTGTGTGTGTGCCAGACCTTAGGCAGCAGCGGGCTGCAGCCAATGCCACGCCAGGCGTGCGGGTGCGGGGGAACGAGCTCTCGGTGCAAGTGGCAAGTGGGGAGGGTAACGCAGTGACGCTCAAGGGTACGGCAGGTCAGGGGAATGCCACGCAGGGCGGCGTAGGGCCAGGGCATCGTGGCGCCGTGAGGCTGGCGACCGTCCACGCACAATGGGCTTGCAATATGCTCTGATACGCGCGCGCCCCTCACGCACGCATGAGAGCATGCACGCATGCATACGGCCACTCAACGGTGCAACAGTACACGCATTCACGTCCACGCACGCACGAGTGTGCGCATGCGCAAGGAGCACGCACGCATGTGTGCTCGGTCCCCGTGCTTTGGGCGCCCATCCGCCGCGCAACTTGCCGGACCACTGCACATCATGAGCATCGTTGAACCGATCTCTATCCTCCCTGGCGTGGCCTGGGCCCCACTGGCCAATTTACCCCCCCAGACCCTGGACGGGGAGATAGGCTGTTCCCTTTGAATCTCGAGGGTCCTGTGCCCCACTGGGGTGTGGGGCTGAGATACCATGGCCCGGTGGGGATGGGGATCGCTTAGACGATACTGCCATCAGATGCTATCAGAAAACGCCCGGTCAACCCGGCAAGAGCCAGACTCCGTCGTGGTCGGGGTGGGCTTCGCCGTCAGCTGGCTCCATCGCGGAAGCCTCCAGCTGCAAGACCTCCGCGTCGTCGTCCTCCACCCAGCGGCCGACGCCGTGGCCGCCCGCGGCGCTGGGCTGATCATCGCGACGCAGCGGCTGCACCAAACGAAAGTGTCATTGCTCGGCGATGACCACTCCGACCCTCTCCTCCGACTCCTCCCACACGAACCTTGGCATGGGGGAGGAGGGCCCCAAAAGAGCAGCGGGCTCTGGAGGCCGCGGGGCCTTCCCCGAGTCCCACTCTTAATCCTGGGCCGCTGTGCTGGCACTCGCCAGGCTCGGGGAGGGCGGGGAACTCAGCGGCGGTCAAAACAACAACAACAACAACAACAAACCCAGGACCCATGTCCCTCATTCGGGGGTAGACGAGAAGGAGTGGGCAGCCCAAGGAGGGGCGCTGTCGAAGCAGCGACACGTCGCATCTTTGCCAGCGTACCCTCCTGCCGCCCGTGGTGGCATGCACCGAAGGCTGCGTCTGGCGGCGGGCCCGAAAAACCAGCTGCGTGCAACACATTTGGCCACCTCTCCTTTCCCACTCTCGGGGGGAACAAAAGGGGGGGAATAACAAAAGGGACTTCGTGTCGTTGGTCTCTCTTCCGTTATATCTTCAGTTATATTGGACTTACCGAAACTGAGCGCAACCGTTTACAAGTTTCTTAGAACAACTTGCGTACTAATTGCTATCCAGAAACAAGTTCAACTCATATTTCATATGTCAACACACGTTAACATAAGGCAACATCAGTTTCAATTGTCCAGGAAGGAATTCTGAATTTTTGGGGGCCCGCCGTGGAAGCCGGCACCTGCAACGTACCTGCAGCGTACCTGCACTGATGTAGTACACGCGTACCTGCAGGGTACCTGCAGCGTACTGCCATCACTCAAGCCAATCACAAAGCAGCGTACCTGCAGCGTACCTGCACTGATGTAGTACACGCGTACCTGCAGCGTACCTGCAGATACGCTACCAATTAAAGCAATCACAAAGCAGCGTACCTGCAGCGTACCTGCACTGATGTAGTACACGCGTACCTGCAGCGTACCTGCAGCGCAACTGCAGATACACTACCAATCAACACACTTGATACCTGCGTTTCCTGACGTCGTATTCGGCGACGCCAGGAAACGCACGGGGGTGCCGAAAAACGCCACCTGAACGCATATCCCAATAGAGAAAAATAATGTGTGTTCTTGCTCTGGACAGGTGGTGGCGCTTGAGTGAGAGCTTGCGACGATCGTGGAAATTATCTAGGACGCCTACGGCGAATCACCGCCGCACCCTGCCTTTTTGGAAGCGCCTAGGTGGCCGAACGTTGAGGCCAGACCTGCCAAGGTATCGGACAATGTGTTCCCCGAATCGGTTTGGAGAGCCTTCGGGGAACACGTGGGCATCTGGAAGGTCATCTTGGCCGACTGGAGGCCATTTTGACCCTTTCGGGCCTTCTTGGAGGACGTCTTGGAGGGCTCTTGGGCCGTCTTGGAGGCCATCTTGAGCGTCTTGGTCTTGGGCCGTCTTGGGGGCCTCTGGGGGCCGTCGTGGGCCTCTTGGGCGATCTTTGGGTGCACTTGGGCCGTCTCGGGCCGTCGGAAGGCAGAACAAACAGCACATGCCACAATCCTTCAAAAACTCATGGGAAATCAATGATTTTGATCTTTTCGGCCCTTCCTGGAGACCCTCTTGGAAGCCTTTTGGGCCGTCTTGGGCCATCTTAAGACCATCTTCTGTCGTCTTGGTGGGCTCCTGGCCCGTCCGACGCCGTCGGAAACCGTTTGGGGGGGCCCTCTGGGCAGACTTTGGGTCCTCTCGGAATGCTCCAAGGCCGTCTTGGAGGCTATCTTGGGCGTCTTAATAGCCTCCTGGGCTGTCTTGAGGGCCTCTTGGGCCGTTCTGGGGCCATCTTGGAGGCCTCTTGGGCGATATTTGGGCGATCTTTGGAGGCTCTTGGGCCGTATTGGGCCTTTGGATGGCCGAAAAGAAACACATGCCAAACACCTTCAGAAACCTAGGCACAACAATGTTTTTTGCCTTCCTGGAGGCCCTCTTGGAGGCCTCTTGGGCCGTCTTGGGCCAGCTTCGAGCCATTGGGCCATCTTGGTGGGCTCGTGGCCCGTCTGACGCCGTCGGAAGCCGTTTGGGGGGCCTCTCTGGGCCGACTTGGGGCCCTCTTGGGGTGCTCTAGGGCTTGGGCGTCTTGGAGGCCTCTTGGGTCGTCTTTGTGCCCTCTTGGGGGCGTCTTGGGGGCCTCCTGGGCAGTCCTGAGGCCATCTTGGAGGCCTCTTGGGCGCTGTGGGGGAGATCTTGGGGGCCTCTTGGGCCGTCTTGGGTAGTCGGAAAGCCGAAAAGGAGCAACTACGAAACTCCTTCAAACACCTAAGGAACATCAAGGATTTCGGCCTCTTCGGGCCCTCCTGGAGGACCTCTCAGAGGCCTCCTGGGCCGTCTTGGAGGCCTCTTGGGCACCTCTTGGGCCGTCTTGGATCTCCTCCTCTCTTGGGCGGACTTGGAGGCCATCTTGGACCATCTTGGAGGCCATCTTGGGCCATCTTGGCCGTCTTGGAGGCCATCTTGGCCGTCTTGGAGGCCTCTTGGGGCCCTCTTTGGGGCCTCTTGGGCCGTCATGGGGCCATCTTGGAGACCTCGTGGGCGATCTTGGGGGCCTCTTGGGCCGTCTGGAGCCGTCGGAATGCCGAGAAGAAGCAAATGCCCAAATCCTTCAAACACCGAAGGAACATCAATGAATTTGGCCTCTTCGGCCCTTCCTGGAGGACCTCTTGGAGGCTTCTTGGGCCGTCCTGGAGATCTTTTTGGGTCCTCTTGGGCCGTCTTGGGCCATCTTGAGGCCATCTCAGGCCGTCTTGGGTACATCTTGGGCCGTCTTGGAGGCATCTCGGGGCCATCTCAGCCGTCTTGGAGGCCATCTTGGCCGTCTTGGAAGCATCTTGGCCGTCTTGGGGGCCTCTTGGGGCCGTCTGGGGAAAGAACACCGTTTACAACCACCTCTTCCGGGCGGCCGGCGGGACGGACCGAAGCCTCAGGGGGAGTTCTGTTGGAAAAGAACCACAACCAAAAGCCATATCGTTTGGCACGCCAGGCACCCCTGCGATGAATCGACAGGGGTCGGCGGACCTAAGACGCCTACGGCGAATCACCGCCGCACCCTGCCTTTCTGGAAGCGCCTAGGTGGCCGAACGTTGAGGCCAGACCTGCCAAGGTATCGGACAATGTGTTCCCCGAATCGGTTTGGAGAGCCTTCGGGGAACACGTGGGCATCTGGAAGGTCATCTTGGCCGACTGGAGGCCATTTTGACCCTTTCGGGCCTTCTTGGAGGACGTCTTGGAGGGCTCTTGGGCCGTCTTGGAGGCCATCTTGAGCGTCTTGGTCTTGGGCCGTCTTGGGGGCCTCTGGGGGCCGTCGTGGGCCTCTTGGGGCGATCTTTGGGTGCACTTGGGCCGTCTCGGGCCGTCGGAAGGCAGAACAAAAAGCAAATGCCACAATCCTTCAAAAACTCATGGGAAACGATGATTTTGACCTTTTCGGCCCTCCTGGAAACCCTCTTGGAAGCCTCTTGGGCCGTCTTGGGCCATCTTAGGGCCATCTTCGGTCGTTTTGGTGGGCTCCTGGCCCGTCCGACGCCGTCGGAAACCGTTTGGGGGGGCCCCTCTGGGCCGACTTTGGGTCCTCTTGGAATGCTACAGGGCAGTCTTGGAGGCTATCTTGGGCGTCTTAATAGCCTCCTGGGCTGTCTTGAGGGCCTTTTGGGCCGTTCTGGGGCCATCTTGGAGGCCTCTTGGGCGATCTTTGGGCGATCTTTGGGGGCTCTTGGGCCGCATTGGTCGAAAAGAAACACATGCCAAACACCTTCAGAAACCTAAGAACAACAATGTTTTTGGCCTTCCTGGAGGCCCTCTTGGAGGCCTCTTGGGCCGTCTTGGGCCAGCTTCGAGCCAACTTCGGCCATCTTGGTGGGCTCCTAGCCCGTCTGACGCAGTCGGAAGCCGTTTGGGGGGCCTTTCTGGGCCGACTTGGGGCCCTCTTGGAGTGCTCCAGGGCCGTCTTCGAGGCCATCTTGGGCGTCTTGGAGGCCTCTTGGGTCGTCTTGGTGCCCTCTTGGGGGCCTCTTGGACAGTCCTGGGGCCATCTTGGAGGCCTCTTGGGCGCTGTGGGGGCGATCTTGGGGGCCTCTTGGGCCGTCTTGGGTCGTCGGAAAGCCGAAAAGGAGCAAATACGAAAATCCTTCAAAATTCTAAGGAAGATCAATGATTTTGACCTCTTCGGGCCCTTCTGGAAGACCTCTCGGAGGCCTCCTGGGCCGTCTTGGAGGCCTCTTGGGCACCTCTTGGGCCGTCTTGGAGGTTTTTTGGGCGGACTTGGAGGCAACTCCTCCTCTCTTGGGCGGACTTGGAGGCCATCTTGGACCATCTTGGAGGCCATCTTGGCCGTCTTGGAGGCCTCTTGGGGCCCTCTTTGGGGCCTCTTGGGCCGTCATGGGGCCATCTTGGAGACCTCGTGGGCGATCTTGGGGGCCTCTTGGGCCGTCTGGAGCCGTCGGAATGCCGAGAAGAAGCAAATGCCAAAATCCTTCAAACACCGAAGGAACATCAATGAATTTGGCCTCTTCGGCCCTTCCTGGAGGACCTCTTGGAGGCTTCCTTGGGCCGTCCTGGAGATCTTTTGGGGGCCTCTTGGGCCGTCTTGGGCCATCTTGAGGCCATCTTAGGCCGTCTTGGGTACATCTTGGGCCGTCTTGGAGGCATCTTGGGGCCATCTCAGCCGTCTTGGAGGCCATCTTGGCCGTCTTGGAGGCATCTTGGCCGTCTTGGAGGCCATCTTGGGGCAGTCTGGGGTAGGAAAACTGTTTACAACCACCTCTTCCGGGACCCCGGCGGGACGGGCCGAAGCCCCAAGGGGAGTTTTGTTGGAAAAAGAACCAAGCCATATCATCCGGCGAGCCAGGCGCCCCTTTGATAAATGAAAAGGGGGCGGCTGATCGAAGACGCCTGCGGCGAATCACCGCCGCCCCCTGCCTTTGTGGAAGCGCCTATGTGGTCGAACGTTGAGGCCAGACCTGCCAAGGTATCGGACCATGTGTTCCCCGAATCGGTTTGGAAAGCCTTCGGGGAACACGTGGGCATCTTGAAGGTCATCTTGGCCGCCTGGAGGCTATTTT